CCCCAGTGTAGAAATCTTTATCTAAACCACCTGCTTATGCCCTGTGTCACACCCACAAAATTACTTAAAATCTTCAAATTATGCAGAAGAGTGACAGCTTCAGGAAACATTGATTTAGGATCTTTTCATTGGAAAAAAAAACACAAATTAAGAAATCATTTGTCATTATAAACTGTAATCCCCAATCAATAACTGTATTGGAAAGCAGGAAATGTAAGGGTTTATTCCAACTGCCCAATAATCATAATAATTTAGAAAATGAGTATTAGAGAAAAGATGCAATTTGTTTCCAAACGCTCAAATGTAACATAGTAGGTAATTTCCAAAATGATGGAACCTGGAGAAAAGTTTATAATTTGATTAATTTCTAGCCTGCACAACACATTCAATAGATCATTTTAAAAGATAACAACAGAATATAATTGATAATTTAATTTCTATAGAATAGCTGTAGGCTTAAACATGTATAAGCTAATTTCAATGTAGGCATTAGCATTTCTACAAAACAGTATTCCTCAAAAAGGATGAAATTTGTCGTATGGTGTTTTAGGCACTTACACATGAATATCCAACAGCAGCAGAACACTGTAAAATAAAGCAAAAACTTGCTGCTATTTTTAATATATGTTAAATTTTCTTAATAATTTGTTTGAAATCATGTAAAAGTGACACAGCTTTAAAGCATCGCAAAGTATAAGGCACCCTAATTCAATTTATTTTCTAAAAGTACACCTTACATAGTCATTAATCTTAAGAGGACTCTAATCACCAAGTTACAGAGAATATTCAAAAACATCCCCAAACGCTTGCATCCCTAGCTTTTTTGTTCAAAGGCAGTGGTCTACCTTCCTTCCTTCCTTCCTTCTTTCCTTCCTTCCTTCCTTCCTTCCTTCCTTCCTTCCTTCCTTCCTTCCTCCCTTCCTTCCTTCCTTCCTTCCTTGGTCAGGGAGAGAAAAAGGGACTTCTCTGTAGAAATATTTGGCCTTGGAGTCAGAACTTTTAAGATGTGCTAGTGATCTTGGATCGATGCCTTTTTATTTTCTTTCAGGAATAAATCTGAGCAATGGAATGGCTTGCGATCGTCCAGCCAACCAGCCATATCAGATTTATCAGAAAGAAAGAATGAAAACTGGTTCAGAGGACTCCTGCAGAGGCTGAGTGGCAGGTGGCTGGTAAACACACACACACACACACACACACACACACACACACACACACACAAAAGAATATGCTTAGTGGTGGAGGGAAAATATATATTCATATGTGTAAACTCAATAAACAATAAGATATAAAAAAGAATCCATAGTTATGGAAATGATGAATGCATAAGACAGATGATAAATAGTACTTCTATTTAAGAACCAAAGGGATGAAAGCTCATGAATATTAAATATTTGAATCCACTTTAAGGAGGAAATATGATTTTCCCTCAAATGAATGCAAACTCTAAAATTCTGCCAGTGCAAACTTACTGTGTTCACATTAGAATAAAAAAAAATGCAACTCTTCCATGAAACCCATGCCCTGGGAAATATTCTAATGTAATTTCTTAATTAAGACACATTTCCAGTGACTAAATGAAAAATATATATACAGCAGTAAGTGGCTTGATTTTCAGAAAAACTGACTTTTGATGCATGCATGATTAAAATAAATAAAGGCAGTTTCATTTGAGAAGAAAGTCAGAAAACAGGAATCATGACACAACCAAAAATCTTTCAAGTTTTATCACAACAGCCTATATTAGAGTGTTTTCAAGTGATGTGCAGTTATATTAATAAGCATAAATTTATTAAGCTTTCTGAAGAAATAAATAATACCTTCTAAAAGACCCCCTTTACATATGAAAGTTCAAAATTAAAAGAAAAAAAAAGGAATAGTGTACCCATGGGTGTGCTCACAGCAAACACATGTAGGAAAAAGTATTGATGTGTGTGTTTTTTAAAATATCATTTTCATCTTTTAACTGTTTTAGTAACCGTTTTCTTCTAACTGTAAAAACAGCCCCTAATATTGGAGGCATATCTTAAATATGTAGGAAAATGTATGTTCTTTTGTAGAATGAAAAGCAGGACTAAGATACTTGCAAATAAGAAATAGGAACTGGACTGGTTAGTCACTTATCTGTTAAGGTATGTAAGGCTATCACTTCAATACTACCACCTAGTTCATTTCAATACAAAGGTAATATTGATTATCTTTCAGGAAGACAGAAATTTGGGAATTATTCCTTTTAGTGATAAAGGCTTTATAGTATCTGTAGAAAGGGCCCTTGACCATAATATTTCTCGATAAAATAAGTCACTGGAAAAAACAATCGCCTTCTCTAAAGCTGATATTTTTTCCAAGCAAAGAAGCAAAGGTCCTCATCAGTTACAATTATTTGAAGAAATATCTTAAATCCATACAGGAGAATCGTCTCCGCCCCCCATATTTTTATTCTATCCACATAGAGCAGTAAATAAGGTGCATTCCTTCTGCTCCTTAAGAAATTAGCATTTCAAAAATATGCCGCTTTCCCCTGAACTCCAAGTGTGTCTAATAATGCGAGAAGCAGATTGTCTTCCTCGTTCCCTTAATTTGTTTCATCTAAAAGCAATTCACTCAACATCTTGTCGCCCTCTGGCAGCTTAGTTTACTTATCCGCACTTAATTTCTCATTTGGACCAAACCAAACTCCTCCAAACTGCGAGTGACTGCTAACCAGGAGAGGGGAGATGCAATATGGATTTACTGGGGGCCAGGCAGCCGCCGCACAGTGACAGCCACAAGCACACCGACCTTCACTCACACCCCAGACAGTAACTTGGTTCTCTCCAAGCACCACATTAAAACCAGCTGAACTCTCCCTGCCAGGTGCGGCGGGGGGAGGGTGGGGTCGGCTGAGAAACCCAAGTCCCCAGGGGCATTTACAGTTTCCAGTGGATCACCTGAGCCTGCGTGTTGCAATTATACCAGGGGGTGCACCCGACAGCTTTTCTTTGTGCGGCTCTTTCATCTGGATCACTTTGTGTTTGGAACAAGTGAGGCTCGCCTTTGTGTCCCCAGAATTTCAAGTACAGAGTCACACACGGAACAACAATGGCACGCTAATCCTCGCGCTCTAAATGGGCTCACTTGTGGGTCTGACAATTCGCGGGGGGCGGGAGGGGGTGGGGAGCGAGAGGAGACCAGCTGCAGAACTAATTTGGATTACATTCCTTGCAGAAATTCTGAAAAGGGCTCTTCGGCATAGCTCAACCCCAAGCCACACAGTTAAGACCGAATTGCTGCGGACTCGGAGCCCGGTCCCCCAGCGGCTGAAGCTGAACCAGACAGAGCCCCCAGTAGGTCGCCTCCCGCAAATTCCTCTCGGCTACGTCTGCACGTCGGTCGCCACTGCTATTGAATGGGTCAATGTGCATAATCAACCCATTGAGGGGAGATATGAAGGGGCTCGGAGGGAGAGGGAGATAAAAAGGGATGTAGCTAAGAGGCCGCTTGGAATCTGGAGCCCGTGCTGGTGCGATTCCGGAGGTGGCTGGAGCGCGGACCGGGTATGCATGAAGAATGTCAGAGGCACCGGGACGGTGCAAACGGCGCGCAGTGTGCCATTCGAAGGTCACTCTGGAAGGCTCGGGGATTGTCACTTGTTACTTACTGGGGAGAGCAAGGAGGGGAGGCAGCGGCGGGGGCGGAGCGGGAACACGGCGGCGCGCTGATTCTCGGTGAGGTCAGAGGACACCCTCCCCCGGCCTAAAGCTCTCCCCCTCGCCACTCCCGGGGGCTTTATCTCCCGTGGCTGCCTCCCACGCTCGGTGGAGCAGCCCGGATGGTTCCGGAAATCTCTCCGGCTCTCCTAAAGGGCGCCCCCTTGGCCGCGTCGGACACCGGACTCTCTTCAGTCCTTTTCTGTCCCACTTTCAGCCCCAGGAAACTCCAGGGTCAGAAACTTTGAGTCCCCGGCGCTGCAGGTGCTGCCAGGAGCCCCGCGGGCCGCGGCGCGCCAGCCCCACGGCGCTGCCTCTCGGGGTCACGTAGCCTCCGCCCGTGCAGGGAGCGGGGGCTCGGGCTGTCCGGCCCACGGTGGCCGCGCACCCCGCACGGACGGCCCGCCTCGGCTTCAATCAGTCCGCACCGGGAGTCGGATCGGTAGCCGCGCTGGGCTGTAAACAGAGAAGTTGGAGGGACTCGGGCCAACAGCAAGTTTAACTTCAGGAAGAACTCTTCCTGGAGCCAAACCCAGCGGGAAGGCCGGGCTGTCCGGGCTCCAGTATGTCAACCTTTTTTTTTTTTTCTCTATTTTTTTTTAAGATGTCAGGCAGGCAGGCAAGCTCCCTTCGGGTCAGTCGGGAGAGAGCTCCAGGACGCCGGGCCAGGAAGCCGGGAGTTCCGGGCCCCCGGGCCAGGGCGCGCCCGCCCGCCCGCCCGCCTGCCGCTGCCCAGCCTTGGGCTCAAGTGGGGTCGGACCCCGCCAGGCTCCGGCGGCCGGAGGCGCAGTGGCCGCGGGCAGCACGCACGGGTGCAGAGCCCGTCCTCCAAGCTGCCCTCCCCGCCGCCCTCCCGCACAGAAGGGGCCGGCGGCACCGCTCGGGACCCGCACCCTCCCGCGGCCCGGGCGGTGCGCGCTTCTCCCACGCTTCTGCCCTCCGGGTCCCCTCTCACTCGGGGTTCGGGGCGCCCATGTCCCGCACACCAGGCGCGACCCGAAGGGATCCCTCTCAGGCTCCCAGAAACCGTGCGAGAAAGACCAGGGGGTTAAGGAGAGCGGAAGAGGAGATAGGGGTGCACAGTGTTTCTGTGTTTTTCTTTTTTCCACGAGAAATAAAATGCATGCACACAGACGGTAAGTTTGGGGACGGAATGAGAGGCGAGGAAGAGGGCCCGGTGGAGTGGTCCCTCCTCTCCGGAGAGCCAGAGGGCGGCAGGTTGAGCAAAGTGGGGGAGAGAGGGCCACCCCAGCAGCCGCTCCGGCCGCGGCAGGTTCAACCCCTGGAGCGCGAGCCGGAGTCACCACCCACCTGACTGCGAAGCGCTGCGCCGGACGGTCCCCGCCGCCACCAGAAGGCTCACCCAGACGCACAGTCCCGCCGCCAGCTTCATTGTGTGCAAGTCTCAGATCCCGTGCTGACAGTTACATGTCCAAATGGCATCGCCCCTTTCGGGCACACGGAGGAGACCCGTCAGCCAGGCGCGCGTGGGGGCGCGCGGTGCACCGGCTCGGAGCGCGGCGGGCGAGGGAGTCCGCGGCCGTGGGGCCGGGCCGCGCCGGAGGGGGCGAGTGTGCGCGGGAGTGCGCGCGGGGGAGAGGCGCTCGCGTCTGAGCGTGGAGCTCCTGGCCGGACTGCAGCGATGTCCCCGCGCGATCGCCCTCCCCGCCTCACTCTCTCTCTGGTCGGGCGACAATAAAAAGGAAGGGGGGTGGTGGTGGAGGGGGGGAAGGTTTCCCAAAAAAAAGTTGCTTGCAAAGAGGCGGTAGGTTTCCGGCCTCTCGCCCCAGCCCGGCTCTGATCGGCTCTCCTTTTAGTTTCCCAGCGCCTCCAGTCCAAATTGGGAAGAAAGTGGGGAGGGGGAAGCTTCTGGCTCCTTCTCCCCGTATCCAGTCCTTTTCCCCGTCAGCGCTCCTCACTCTTGTCCGGCGGCTGCGGTAATGAAAGCTCCAAGCATAATTTCCAATGCTTCGCCGTCTCCAGCTGCAGCCCCGCGGAGAAATTAATAAGACTCCCGGAGAGGGGGGGTGGGGGGAAAGGTGGAGGGGGCGGCGGATAAAACAACCCTCCACACAGGAGCCGGCTGGCCCAAGCCGCGCTAGCCCCGCCCCGCTCTGCCCCGCAGCCACGCCTTTCCTCCCGCCCTCTCCCCCAAAGGGAAATCTCATTGGCTCAGCCGCTCCCCAAAAATCCTGGGCCTTAGGAGTTGGGGAAACACCTGTCAGGGCGGAGAGCTTGGTCTGGTGGGTAGAGGAACCTGGATTTAAAGGGCTCACCAGAGGCCAGGGACTGAATGCAAGAGAGGCCCCAGGACAGCTGGGGCACGGAGTGCCAGGACACTGGAGGGAGGGATATATATATATATATATATATATATATATATATATATATATATATATATATATATATATCCCGATTCATGAAATTCGTGCAAGGGTGGACGTCTGGTCTAATTAGCATATTATGCTTTTATTATTATAGATTTTCACCTTTTTTTCCACATTGCCCCACGGTGCTCATCTAAAGACCATACTTAGAAATAAGACCATATCTAGAAATAGGAGGAAATAAAACGTTGCTTCAGGCATAAAGCCTCCACACTTTGGTCCCCCATCATGCTCCACACTCAGAAATCAGTTTAAAAACTGGTTCTGTGCATCCGATAGCCTCTGCAGTGGAGGTAGTCCAGAGGATATGATCACCTGCCTTTTCTCTCTACTCCCGTTCCCACCCTCCCAAACTGACCGACACTGAGTCAAAGGACAAGTCCACAGAATGACATACATCCTTGGCTTTTTAAGTCTCCATGTCTGTTCACTTTTCCCTTGGACTCCTAGACAACTTGGTTTGGGGTTCATTCTAATCCAAAGTTACCAATTTGGTTATAAAGGGCCAACAATTGATCCAGGTCTGAGTTGTTCAGTCTGCAAGAAACTGAAATGACCATCTCAGGATAGAACCAACACAAGTGATTACCTGTATTCTACAATGGACCCAGCTTTAGACTCCTCTATGTTCTCTCTCTGCAGGTTCACCCACCCCAATCCTCAGGTTATTGCTAGCTATGGGAGTGTCTGGGCTTTAATCTAAAATATCCTGGTACTGGGCCATATCATGGTACATATCACTTGCCAATTGCAGCTCAGAAACTGTACCCTGAGCAGGGGCCAGAATCTCATGCGGGTAGTAGTTTTATTGGTTTGCTATTTGCACAGGCATACTGTGAATTGTTTTCTTTTCTCAGTTTCTTCAGGAGCAGCAAATGCATAAATTAAAAGTACCAGGAGAACTTAAAAATCAAGCCACCCGGCCTCCTCACTCAACATTTGAGACCTTCCCACTCCTCCCCCACATCTTTTATCTACAGCCTTGTCCCCATAAAATGTCCATGGAGCTGAGAACAGAGGGAAGCTGCAGTTTCAACCCAGAAGCCTGAAGTCTTCCCTTTCTTAGGCCCACATCAAGTAACAGGCACAGAGAAGGGGCCAAACAAGCTGAGCGTACTGCTTTTACATAGAAGCAGCCTCGGGCCTGGAGAAACTAAGCCGAGAGCCCACAGTGGTGATGTGACGGTGGTACTGATTCCAGAACTATGCACACTGCTCTTCGGGACTATCTCTGTTTTCTATTTTTATCACCATTCACTCGTCCCCCTTTGTTTTCTTTCATTCAGTCTCTCCTCAGTCCCCTTTCCTTAAGTCCCTTTGGGCTTCCGATGATGACTCTCAGATACCTCTTTTCCATGAAAACGGTTTATTTTTAAATTTCCATTCTGTCCCCACAAAAACAATTTAAGTGATTAAAACAAAACAAAAACTTCTGGCTTTGGGAAAATTTTAAATATCTATGTGTTGTTGTCTTTTTAAGTCTTATCCATAATAATTGTAAGGAGTGAAAAAAAAATAGATTGTGTATTTTAGCTTACAATGAGGGGAAAAAGAAAAATGCTTAATATCTTTTTTCTACTTGTGTCCATTGTGGTAATTTTTACTCCCTCATCAATTTTATAGTTCTACTGTGGCAGGAACTCTCCTATATACCTTGGTCTCACTCTTATATCTAAAATAATTATTGGTGCCCTAGCTGGTTTGGTTCAGTGATTGAAACAAAACAAAATCTTCTTGCTTTGGGAAAACTGTTATTTGTTGGCCTGAAGACTAGAGGGTCCCAGGTTCGATTCCAGTTAAGGGCACATGCTCAGTTTGTGGGTCCGATCCATAGTAGGGGGAGAGCAGAAGGCAGCCAATCAATGATTCTCTCTCATCATTGATGTTTCTATCTCTATCTCCCTCTCCCTTCCTCTCTGAAATCAATAAAAATATATCTTTAAAAAAGATTAAAAAATGAAATAATTATTGGCAAAAGAGGAATTTTAACAATATACAGTGGTTAAAAAAAAGTTATAGTCTATTTTTGGGGGATGCTACATACCCCATATAGGTATCCACCAATCAAATTACTTGGCACAACCATAATTCTTAATTTTTTCTGTCTTGACACAATTTTCCTGGTTCTAGCTGTTCAAACAATTATTGATTCCTGGCCAAAATTGGGTATCTGATCAGCAGCCTATAAAGTAAATTGGCATGAAGCTCTACCCAACAGCATATCCTACATTGTCTGATGACTGGTCTACCCAATCAGAGTCTAGCCCAAATAAGAAGGTGCTACCCTGGGTGGCCAAACCCAAAGAGTAGAAAAGCAGAAGCCATGAACTAGAGTCAAAATTTAATTCTTTATGTGTCTGCTCTCATTGGCTTCCCATATAAGCTGAGTCATCCTAAGGAAGGAACATCAAAGTAGGAGACACTGGCTATGTGATGTGGAAATGACATGCTAACTGGATTGCTAGAGGATTTCTAAGATGAATCTCTTCACTTTCCCATGTATCCTTATACTACATCTTTACCAGTTAAATTACCTAAAATATGTTGTTATTTATAACCTTGAAAAGAAAAAACAACCACAAGTGAATACCAACAATTATCTGTTCAATACCCCTTTTCTAGGAACTACCCTTCCCTCAGTTTGACATTTTTTTTTTCTTTTTTTTTTTTATTGCTTAAAGTATTACAAAGGGTATTACATATGTGTCCATTTTATCCCCCCGCCCTAGACAGTCCCCTAGCCTCCCCTATCCCCCAATGTCTTATGTCCACTGGTTATGCTTATATGCATGCATACAAGTCCTTTAGTTGATCTCTTACCCCCCTACCTCCTGCCCCCCAACCCTCCCAGGCCTTCCTGCTGCAGTTTGACAATCTGTTTGAGGCAGCTCTGCCTCTGTATCTATTATTGTTCAAAAGTTTATAATGGTCTCTATTATCCATGAATGAGTGAGATCATGTGGTATTTTTCCTTCATTGACTGGCTTATTTCACTTAGCATAATGCTCTCCAGTTCCATCCATGACGTTGCAAATGGCAAGAGTTCCTTCCTTTTTAGAGCAGCATAGTATTCCATCGTGTAGATGTACCACAGTTTTCTAATCCATTCATCTACTGATGGGCACTTAGGCTGTTTCCAGATCTTAGCTATGGTGAATTGTGCTGCTATGAACATAGGGGTGCATATATCCTTTCTGATTGGTGTTTCTGGTTTCTTGGGATATATTCCTAGAAGTGGGATCACAGGGTCAAATGGGAGTTCCATTTTCAGTTTTTTAAGGAAACTCCATACTGTCTTCCATAGTGGCTGCACCAGTCTGCATTCCCACCAGCAGTGCACAAGTGTTCCTTTTTCTCCACATCCTCTCCAGCACTTGTCGTTTGTTGATTTGTTGATGATAGCCAGTCTGACAGGTGTGAGATGGTACCTCATTGTTGTTTTGATTTGCATCTCTCGGATGATTAGTGACTTTGAGCATGTTTTCATATGTCTCTTGGCTTTCTGAATGTCCTCTTTTGAAAGGTGTCTATTTAGGTCCTTTGCCCATTTTTTGATTGGATTGTTTATCTTCCTTTTGTTAAGTTGTATGAGTTCCCTATAAATTTTGGAGATTAGGCCCTTATCAGATATGACCTTGGCAAATATGTTTTCCCACACAGTGGGTTTTCTCGTTGTTTTGTTGATGGTTTCTTTTGCTGTGCAGAAGCTTTTTATTTTGATGTAGTCCCATTTGTTCATTTTCTCTTTAGTTTCAAGTGCCCTAGGAGCTGTATCAGTGAAGAAATTGCTTCGGCATATGTCTGAGATTTTGTTGCCTTTGGATTCTTCTAAAATTTTTATGGTTTCCTGTCGTACATTTAAGTCCTTTATCCATTTTGAGTTTATTTTTGTGTATGGTGTAAGTTGGTGGTCTAGTTTCATTTTATTGCATATATCTGTCCAATTTTCCCAACACCATTTATTGAAGAGACTATCTTGGCTCCATTGTATGTTCTTGCCTCCTTTGTCAAATATTAATTGAGTATATTGGTTCGGGCCGATTTCTGGGCTCTCTATTCTATTCCATTGATCTATATGCCTATTCTTGTGCCAGTACCAGGCAGTTTTGAGAACAGTGGCTTTGTAATACAACTTGATATCCGGTATTGAGATCCCACCTACTTTGGTCTTTTTCAGGATTGCTGCAGCTATTCGGGGTCTTTTTTTATTCCAGATGAATTTTTGGAGAGTTCGTTCTAGATCTCTGAAGTATGCCATTGGTATTTTAATGGGAAGTGCGTTGAATTTATAGATTGCTTTGGGTAGTATGGACATTTTAATGATGTTGATTCTACCAATCCATGAACACGGTATGTTCTTCCATCTGTTTATGTCTTCCTCTATATCTTTTTTCAACGTCCTGTAGTTTTCTGAGTAGAGGTCTTTTACCTCTTTAGTTAAGTTTATTCCTAGGTAGCTTAATTTTTTTGGTGCGATGGTAAACGGGATTGTTTTTATAATCTCTCTTTCTGAAAGTTCACTATTGGTGTATAGAAATGCCTCGGATTTCTTGGGGTTAATTTTGTATCCTGCTACATTGCCAAATTCATGTATTAAGTCCAGTAGCTTTT